GCCTTACTAGTAGTAACAAGAAGCTATTAGTAACAAGTGCCTTACTACTAGTAACAAGAAGCTACTAGGATACTTCTTGACATTTATATTTGATCAGGAAGTTCCTCGAAAGCTTCGCCCGGGATTGAATCATCCAACATCCCCCGAGGCCCTTCAACCCGGACGAGTCCTACCTGGATGAGGTGATCGGATATCCCTTGGCCCTTGTTGGCTTCTACTTCCAGGCCAAAAACGAAAAGCAGCGTGTCATTAGCTGACCAGTTTCCATTTTGCATTTCTATGGGACCTGATGACCTGATGCCTTTGTTCACAGCCTCCGTGTCCTCCCATGTGTGTCAGGGTTATATCGTGGAGAGAACGCTCGCTCGGTTTTGCTTGGTCTCAAACACCCGGTCCGACGCAGATGACGCACTACTTCGGTGTCTTGCCCTTCCCGTTGGATTGGCTTCTGTGGCCCCTGAGCTTTGTCGAGGGGCTTCTGGAGATCCAGGCGAAATCATGTGGGGAAGGGTCTAGTGTTAGTCCTTTTTGTGGATTCTGTCCTGCCCACAAACATAGAGGTGGTGTCCATCCAGCTAAGCTCCTACCAATCGCTCCATAGTCTTTGGATGCTTTGTGAGCCCCGTAGGCAAGACGTCTCCAAACCATGGTCTGTCGTTCTTACTCTTCAGAAGCATTCTTTGGTATTTGTGCTGTGCTCTACCGTGCCGCACAATCTTTTGCATTGTGCCAGATCAGCTGGTGAGATGAGGCCAGACCTTATGCACTCGGATGTAGTTATGTGAGCTTTGTGTAAAGAAGGACCCTGAAAGTAATGGCAATTGCGTCAGGAAGCCAGCCATCTGAGCTTACAAACTGCTTTTGCCGGCTAAGACCCTAGCCTTAGCCCACAACTCAGCCAACGTTTGGCAGATTTGCGCCAGCCCTCGTGATTTTTGGCCACTTCTCATCAAGATTCGGCTGTAGCAACTTGTTGGGTGTCGAGCTGACGCAAGCGATCACAGATTCAGATGCAGGTGAAGGCTGACCAGCCTTCTTTGCCCAACCATAGCTTAGAAGAGTAGCTAGCACAACACAGCCAAGAAGTGAAGAAAAGAGAAGAAAAGCTCGTTTTGGAGCGATTAAATCTGACTTCTGTCCGCTTTCCTTTTCCACCTCGCTTCCTTAAGCCATGACGCTTTGGCATGGCTTGGCTTAAGGGAATGACAAGAGCGCAACCCGTGTGAACCCCAACACACGCAAGTGAGCTCATGCGGAGCTAGGAGAGAAGGCAACCTCACCTTCCTCTCACCATACCTCATTTTGGCAGCTTCGGTTTCCTTGGCATTGTGAAGGAAGCCGTTTCGAGTTATTCATTCCAACTCAGCTTTGTGGCCCAAACAATAGAGGTAGCCCGTTGGGGGGCGTGAGCTGAAGGGCGCGCCTTGGATGCAAACTGTTGTTTATTCAAGTGTTGTCTTCCAGGGTCTTTTGCGTTCCTTTTCTTCTGGGAAGGGCTGGTGAATCGTTGAGGCCCCTGCAGGATGACGGAGTTGGCCGACATCCTGCCCATTTTTTCCAGCTATGCCTCCAACGCCAACGAAGTGGATGGAAGGAGCTCCTGTTTGGTGGGCTTTGGTTTCAACGGCCTTAAGTTCTTGGTAATCCTTTTTGGGAGTCTGTTTAAAAAGGTGTCCTCCAATGTGTACTGTCAAAAAGTTGATAATTTGATATAATTTGCTTACATAAGTATCCGAGATAGACCTGGGAAGCAGCATCAAAAGGATCCAACTGGGAGCAATCCAGCATGCAAACCTTGCACTGCCCAAGCGGCGGCGATATGCATGTCTATCCAAAGATCTCCCCAGGGAGTGGGCGATATGCGTGTCATCACATCGCAGAGATTTGACCCGCTTGTGTGCTTTTTGCTGTGAGGAGCTTCACCAAGCTCTGCAAAGATTGCGGCCTCTTTGTGGCTCGGTGGAATGGGACGATCGGCCCGGAACGGGGCTTTCCTGATTTAGCCGACACAGGCTATATATATATATATACTGTAAGTACTAGGGCCAAAAAGTCATATCCTCACCAAAGTTCAGTTATATAAACATGTGAGTCTACTTTATTGACTCATGTTGCCTCATTGTCAGCAACCAATTATGCGCTGCAGGTTCTTTGCTTGTAATTAAATACCCAGCTGGCGTGGAGATGACCCAAATGTGAACCAGCCTGCCAGTTTGGCATACTCAGTGACTAAATCTTTATGGATTCTTCGATCTGAGCTTTGGACAGCTGCGAGCGATCAGGACCGGAATTTCAGCTCCACAGATGCCGACCTGATCTTTGCCAGAGTTGTGCCCAAGGCGGGACGAGGGTTGGGTTTTATAGAAACACGCTCGAACGGGGAGACCGTTTCTGATACTGAAGACCTGTTGCTGTGCCAGGGGCAGAGGAGGATTTCCATCACTGAGTTTGAGAAGGATGGGTGGGGGAGCACGCAGGGCAAGGTTGATACGAATGAAGAGCCTCAAGGTAAATCGGCAAACGAACCTCTTTGAAACAGATCTTGCTGCTTGCTTATTCTTTCTGTGTGGGACCGATCTCTTGGAATTCCCTTTGTGGCAGCCTTCAGGCTCTGGGTCTGATCGCCGAACGGAGGAGCTGCTCCCAGGAGATTTGCGTACGATGGCGGGTACAGAGAGTTGAGACATCCAAGTCATCCATGCTCAAACAGGGTCGCTCTCGAAAGAGTACCTCCAACAGCCTTCACAGCTGGAAAAGGAGACGTCAACGTCTGCCACTAAACTTTTGGTATAGTTATTTGGCCAGTGCTCGGCTTGAGCACTCCAAGTGAACTTTTATTGTAAGTTTTCTTTACGTTTTTCAGATGTTAAGACATTTATTTAAGCGAGGTGCGTTCTGTGAAGCGCCCACAGCTGGAAATGCGCCATTTTCATCAGGAGGATGTGATGCAGAAGGTGGCAGACAGTGCTGGGCCGTCCTTGGAGGGCACCAAGGCAGATGCGGTCCTTTGGCCAAAGGGACCATTTGGGGATTTCTACTTCTGAGATGGGATTCAGGGCTGCAGATGCTAAGGGGGGGTAGGTTTGTAAGGTGTCGTCGTGCTCCCCGACCTTCCCTGAAGAAACCAGAAACGACTCCAAACTCTCGAGATCGCCCATCGCTCTATCGACCTGCCCACTTAAGATTCTCAATAATTGACGGCATAGGTATCAAAAAAAATCAAAAGAGCATCAAAAAAAACAGGATCAACATAAAAGTAAAAAGCGAATCAAAAAATAAATATTCCTTGATAGGCCTCTTCTGCTGCTCTCCTGGCCTTGTGGTCTGCGGGTCCTCTGGTAATGTGGTCCCTTGGTCCTCTGGTCCACTGGTCCTTTGGTCCCCTGGTCCCTTGGTCCTTTAGTCCACTGGTCCCCTAGTCCTCCGCTCTCCTGGTCCTCTGGTCCTGTGGTCCGCTGGTCCCCTGGTATCCTAGTCCTTCTGTCTCCGAGCGCTCTGACAACGCCATGTAGGGCCTAACTTCGTGTGAACGCCGTGACTACTGCTACTGCTACCACTACTACTACTACTACTCCTGCTGCTGCTGCTGCGCTGCTGCTGCTGCTGGTGCTGCTGCTGCTGCTGCTGACTGCTACTGCTACTGCTACTGCTACTGCTACTGCTACGCTGGTGCTGTTGCTGTTGCTGCTGCTGCTGCTACTGCCACTACTACTACTACTACTACTACCCCAACCATCCTCAGTGGGCTAGAATATTACTTTTTTTGATTACCTTTTTATTTTTTTTATTGATCCGTGTTGAATATTTTTTGTGATTCTATTTAGATTTATTTTGATCCCTTACCCATAATTGACGATCTTGATTAATGTTTCCACCGATTCCGGCATCGCCACCTGTCAGGGTTGGACAGGGCAGATGGTGTTTGTTTGGTGCACCCAAAAGCCCCCCAGAGTGGTGATCTTTCTCCGGAGCACAACTAGGCTTTTGGGCCAGAGAACGAGGTCCTTGGTCCTTGGTCCTTGTGTGAAAAGATGAGGTTCGGCTGCATGATGACAAGCAGACCTACACGGGCGTGCATGCACGCGGAGGACCAGATTCAGTGCCGAAGGCGAGACACACTCGAGAAGATGCCCATCGGACATGTGCTAGCGTTGATTCTACATCGTCGATGCTCTTACTGTAGATCTGTAGTCGGTGCATGCACCAGCACAATCTATTCACCTTTCCAGTTTCCAGGAGAGCATTCTTTCTTCTCTTTTGTGGAGTTGTGGACCCAAATCCAGCTCTCATTTGCTTTGTTGAGCTATCAATTTGGTCTGCAAAGGGCTATGGGCATGTGCCGGGCACGAGCAGCCTGACCCTGGGGCGCAGAGACTCCAAAGATCGCCGTTCGCTCTCGCGGACGCCCAGTGGAGCGGCAACTCGGTGAAAGAAAGGGAGTGGTTGATCTCGGCAAACTGTATGACATGCAATTGTCAGTTCCATGTGATTTTCATGCAATTTGACCTTGTCAGCTCTCCCACTCTTCTTTTTCTCGTTTGACATTTCCTTAATCAACCGTTGTTTGCCAGCTGTGCAGTTTGCTCATGCTGTCCTTCCTTGAAGGCATGTCCGTTGCCGAACCTCCTAGCCTCTGGGCCAGCTGTTGAAAGAAAGCTGAGCAGAAACATGGCGGGAAGAGAACATGAGTACCCGAGGGGCTGGGGAACATTGGTGGCGGTTCAGCCTTGGGTAGTTGAACTGCTGCTTGATGCGAGGGCGAGATATCCAAGTTGAAAAGATTGTTGTTATTGTTGGGGTGATTGCCCACTTCTCAGACAGCCTTTGATATACTTGCACTCACTAAGGATGATGTGATTCGTTTGCGCTCAAGCTCAGGTGCATGGACTGGGCCCCTAAGGTTTTGAGGTTCATCCTTTCAGGGGCGCAATCCCATTGGTGGGGACTCGCTTGTCCGTCGCATTGCTTTGCGTCTGGACTTCCATCCTTGCTCGCCGCCTACCTTCTTGGACTTCTTTCAGGCTTGCTTCTTGCGGTTCTCCTCACCCTTTGGGGCTTTGGCTATCTGCCGGCTCATCCTCCGTGGACTTTGGCTTCCGAGGCATCTGGGCTTGTCCTTCCTCCCGAGCGGGTCAAGGCCTACGTGAATGAGCAGCCGCTCATCGCCCTTGCGCTGAGACGACGAGGAGCTTAGCCTACCCTTGGAGTTCCAGGGTCTGCAGATCTCAGTGCGAGGCAACGCAGCCAAGGCAGCATCCTTTGTGCAGCGGTTGGCTACAGATCCCGGCTCTAGTTCACAGGGCCCTTCTGGTTATTTGGCTCACAGTCAGCCTACTCACCATCCAGTGCCTTCAGTCGCTCCGAGCATTGCTTTCTTGGCAGCTCAGGAGGTTGAACCATCCACTCCGCCGTCAAGGTACGAGACAAGGCAACGTTCGCGGCTTGCCCATCTTCTCTTGGGCTGGCTTCTTCTTTGTCTACCACTGCAGGAGGGTGGACAGCCGACCAGCGCATTCAGAGGGCCTGGAAGGCTGGAAAGTGGGCAGGTGCAGTCCGTGAAGGACGGTTGGGTAGTCCAAACCGGACACCGACCATTGACATCGGGATACGCGGTTGTCAGGGGACCCAACATCGACGCCCCCAAGATCTACAAGAGCAGCCGTGAGCTGTTTGTGGCCGTTGGACAGCTGGAGGGTTCAGACACTATCTGCCACGGCTTCCCTTCGAAAGCAGAAACTCAGGTCTACTTGGCTGGAGCAGGCATGACAAGGAGCAATGGAGCTTTGTTGGCACTTCCCGAATTACAGATGCCCACGCCCTGGATCTTGGAGCTATGTCGGACGAAGTTTCAATTTTGCAGGGGCCAACTCCGGTGATGGACCGTTCCGTCTCAGCAGAGCTTGTAGACTTCAATGCAGAGATTTTTCAATATCTGAGAGGGATAGAGGACACCTCAGAAGTTATGTCAGTTTTGGCCTTCGACTACCGCGAGCCCTTGCTAATTCCAAGCTCCGGAGATTTTGGTGGCCAGGGCTCACGAATGGGCAGAGGATTCTCTTCTACTCGGCCGACGAGGTGCCTCTTACACCTGGCCCGCAAGAAGAAGGTGTGGTGAGTCCCAGGGGTGGAGAAGAAGCGCCTCCACGCACATCGGCTCGGCGGCGGCCACCACTCCTCATGGTGGCGGAAAACGAGGACATCCCGCAACATCATCCCCACAAAAGAAGAGACCAACAGTGGCCGCTCTAGCCCAGAGTCTGGAACAGATCAGTCTGACTCTTCCTGCGTTGGTCAGCCAAGTACAAGATCTCTCCTCCCGGACTGCAGCGATGGAAGCAACAACCAGACAGGCAACAGACCGATCATCAGCCGTGCGCAAGCCCATTGGCAGCTTGATTATGCCTGGATCACCAGGTCCCTCCAATCTGAAGAGTCTGGTGACAACTACGCCTCCACCAAAGCCTACGATCCCTCAGAAGTCGAAGGTTGCCTTCACTCAGGCAGATACAGAGGAGCTACTGACGGATCTACCAGAGCAGACTCCAGATTTCGGCAAAGCTATGCTCATGCACTCTCAAGCTCTGACAGCTTTAGTCACTCTCAGATTGCAAATGCCTCCGGGGATCCCTTCAACGACCTGAGCTCGGCATCTTCATCACTGGCGAGCAGGGTGTCTATGGGGCGTGCAAAACTGCAGGCAGAGCTAGCGGCTCACAAGGGTCACTTCTTCACGAATGTTCTCCAGAATATGTCAAGGAGAATCTATCCAGCCCAGTCGGCAGAAGTGGAGATGCCTACCCTCCGGGATCGGGGGGGTCACTCCCACCCAATACCTGGAGCGCTTTGGGGGCTTTGGTAAAACCAAGGACATTGGTTGAGCCTGCTTTTTGTTTGCCTGGAACAGACAGCGATGGACAATGGCAAGATGGATGTGGGCTTGCTTCTGGCCTTAGTGGAGGACCCACCTCACTCGTTGTTCAGCGGGAGATCCTTAGCAGTGGCTGCGAACCCACGCCCTTTCGCCCCAACGGCGAGTCAACGGTAGGTGACAATTGCGCTCCAATATCTCAAGGAGATGGATGTGATCCACGCAAGAAGATCCGAAGCCACAGCCGGAAAGCAGACTACTACAGAGACCTCAAGGAAAAAGGGCAAAGGAAAGGGAGGAGCAAAAGCCCAGGCGGCTCCGACCAACGTGATCCAGGAGGAGGAATAGACGATGGCCCCAAGACAGATGAAGAGCAGCTCTCAGCAAAGATTTCCGTTCTTGCAGCCCTCCCTCAATGGATCCTTCGTTCCAGGACACCGTTTTCTCCTTCTTGGCCCGGCTACCGCGGTCTTTCCTCCCTTCTGATGGCCTCTTTGAAACGCTTTTTTAATGATACGGCGACCACCGAGATCTACACATTGTGGTGATGGCCTTGAACTATATCCACAAGGGTTGTCGGCCCCTGTCGGTTGCGACTCTTGGACGGCGCCCCTCCTTGGCCCAGCTGAACATCTATCGTCCGCTGCGGGCGAAGTTGGCTGCGTGTGATCAACCTGGTGGTGAGTACCCTTTGCCTCCGGGGAGGTCTGGCTTCGAATTCATTGCTAGACTTGTTGAGTTGGAAAAGTTCTCCGTGACGTGTCCTGCCTTTGATTTTAGCTACGATGGAATGACCCATCAGAGCGAGGCTGAGAATGAGAAGGTTGGCACGATCCTGGAGGCGCATCGTTTCAATATTGAGGAAAATTTCTCTCCTTTGCAGCCCTACAGATCAGTTGATGCATCGAGGCTGAAGCTATGCGGGCTTGGACAGTGTGGGATATGCAAGAATACCTTCATAGCTGCCTGCGGTTGCCTTTCCAGGATCCTAGCATACTACTTCATGGTCACTCTCACTGCCTCGCTGGTCCTGATTTCAGACGTGAGTCAAAAGATGAGAATCTAGCGCTCACGAAACTTTGGGACAGTCGTGGGCTTCTAGCCATGTTTCCTCCATCAGGGCTAGCTTGCAGAGTCTTCAATGCCCACAAGATCTCCACCGTTGATCGCCAGACTGGAGACCGCCGTTGGTTCAACTCAGCTGAGTGCCATCCACAAGGCCGTTCAGCATTCCTTCCATCAGGATATCTTGCCACCTCTGTCCATTGTCCACGGGGCTTCAAGCTTGTCGGCTGTGCTGCAGACAGGAAAGACTTCTACCACCAAGCCCGTGTCAGCAGAGAAAGAGCGCTCACCAACATACTTCCCTTTGAGTTCAGTGTCGAGCAGGGCAAGTCAATGCAGGCTTGGGCAGATATGCTTATAGCAGAGGGAGGACAGGTCACACGTGAGACTCATGGTGATCGTGTGCTGATGACGCCTGCAAAGAAGTTGCGAGAGAAGGACATTGAGCGTGTCTACTTCGGCTTTAAGAGTCTTTTTCAAGGGGACCACCTCGGTGTTGAGTTTGCCCTCGAGAGCCACACGGAATTGCTGCGCAGAGGAGGCTTGTTGTCTGAGGCTGAGACGATCCTTGGGCGCCATGCTTTCCCCCAAGGTCCTGTTTGGCAAGGCCTGGTCATTGCTATCAGCCGCAGCGCATAGGAGAAAATCTTCTGAGTTTCTGACCTCAATAGTTTCGTGAAGTCGTATGGCGTAGGACTGAAGAGGGCCGATTCACGGTATTTTCGCCTGCTGAAGGTGCAGTTCTCCAGCCAAGCATATTTTCGGAGGTGTCGGGGTTGGACCCTGCTATACTTCTATGAGACTACATTGTCCGCAAAGTATGCAACTTACGTAACATACTCAACTGTCACTTGGTTGTATTGGTTGTTTTTTTGAAAGGAAAACAACAGCCACGAAACGCCCTGTGCATGGAGTGTGTTATGAACTTGTTGCCTCCTGGTGCAGTTGCAAGCATTCTGTTTGCTGAAGGGTCAAAGGATATGGCACAGCTCCGGCGTAAAAGATGTGGTAGCAGTAGTAGATGTAGTAGCTGCTGTAGTAGAAGTCGAACCCGAAGAAGAAGAAGAAATGGTAGTAGTCGTTGTCGTCGTCGTCGTCGTCGTCGTCGTCGTGGTCGTGGTCGTGGTCGTGGTCGTGGTCGTGGTCGTGGTCGTCGTTGTCATGGGGGTGGTGGTGGTGGTGGTGGCAGTCGTAGGGGTAGTAGAAAGTAGCAGAAGCAGTCGTAGGAGTAGCAGTAGTAGCAGTAGCAGCAGTAGTAGTAGCCGTCGTCGTCGGTGGTCGGTGGTAGGTGGTAGGGGGTGGTAGATGGTGGTAAGTAGTAGGTAGTTGGTAGTAGATAGTAGGTAGTAGGAGTAAGAACAGGAGTAGGAGCAGGCAACAGCTGCAGAACAGAACGCTTAGCTGCGTATCCCAGACCAAGCCAAGAAGACAAACATTATTCACAAAAATTATATATATAATATATATAGCACAAAAGCTTTTTGCTTATCCGAAGGCCAAACACCCACGTGACAGTTTTGAGTGCAACACTCGTGGTCTGTCCCTGGACACTCAACCTAGTATTGGGACATGCTGGGGGCACGTTTTAGGCCAACCACATTTTCCAGTAAACTAAGACATCACCGTTTTTGAATTTCGAGCCCCTCAAACCAAGGATCGAGCTCCACGGGCTTCATGCGGTCCTCAGGGTCCTCCAGTGCACTCGAGAAGGCCGCCACCTTGAGCCGTCGAGAGGCGTGAAACGGGACGGATCTGGTTATGGCTTTGGTTTTGCTATTGTTGGGTTGATGTCCCTAACACTGTTTAGATGAGGGTGATGCCCAAACCCCATCCGCAGTCAAAGTCAATTCGTGAAGTGCAACTGCTCCAACTTTGTGCCTGTCTCAGGGCTGCGGGCTGCTGGAAAACGTTTTCGAGGCATACTGCAGTCCAGGGCACACAGTGGCTCACCTGGAAATCCAAAGCCGCCTTTTCGCACTTTCCCCGAACAGTTGCCGCGACTGGCAACAATTTGAAAACAATTTTTGTCCCACGACTTGTGATGAAACCGTCGACACGCTTTGTCCATCTGAGGAGATGGATGGCAAGGGCTTTGCAAAGCTGATGAAGGATAGCAAAATGGTGGGCGCCCGCTTCACCACCACGGACTGAAGGGTGTGACGATGGGTAAGTCGGATTTGGGTTGACGTGGCCCAAGAAGAGGTGCCCTTGCTGCAGGATGCAGACCTGACCTTCGCCAAAGTGGTGCCAAAAGGCATGCCTTCGGCTAGTTTCGAAGCGGGTGATATCAGAATAAACAGGTGACAAAGTAGGTACTAGCATTTCAAGAGGCAAACTCAAGTAGAGCGCTGTCGTGCATGTAGGCACGCGGCGAATTGACTTTTTGCAATTCAAAGCAGCTCTCCTCTTGGTTGCTGATGCTTGGTCGGAAGGGTTGCATCCTGCAGCCTGCAACATTTTGTGTCCCACACTCTGCAACTCCTCCTTGCTCACCGCTTTCCCCACCAAGGAAAAGAAGAACATCGATGCAGGAGAAGTCTTTGAAGCTGTTGCCAGGAGGGGTTCAAAGTGGTTAATTTCAGTATCAATTTTGAAGGCCAAGGCTTTTTAACAATGCTGGTCATTGTTATCGATTATGGATTGTTTCCTTTTATGCAGACACTGCATCTCAAACCAGTTGATCTAACCAGTACATTCCCACGGGTACGTGATTGTGCCAACATTTGGCTGGCTCTATAAGTATGTGAACGTGCCTGCCCTAATGACACGGGTCGAGTGACACGGGCTGTTTTGGGGTCACTTTTTCCTGTCGTTCTTTTGGGTCCAGGTGGTGACTAGGTACAGGCTAGTAGGTTGGAGGCCATCGCTATTAGGTTGGAGGCCATCTCGACTAGGGTGGAGGCCTAGCGCTACTAGGGTGGAGGCCATCGACGCCAGGCAGTTTGCAGGGCCTCAGCTGAATGGCACGCGAACAGAGTCTGTCCGGTTTCATGATGAGACCAGGCTGCATTGTGGGAATGGGCAACACTTTTGACCTTTTAAAACATTCCACAACTACCAGGCCGCCCTCCCTGGAACCTGTTGCTTCGGGGTCTGCAGTGAGTTTTCCAAAACAAGATTGTTTTATTTGCAACTTATTGTTATTTGCTTCGCATCTGCTTCGTGGTCGATTGTCCATTGCACCAATCGCACGTGGTGGGCCGGGACAGAGAACCTGCTCAATCTGGCTGTGGGTCGCGAGCTGATGGTAGAGGAAAAGTGGCTGGAACTTTTGAGCTGGCGGTGCAGGTTTGTTGGTGGGTTCTGGATTGGGCATGTCAAGAAGTGTCCTCCGAGATACGCTACCCAGACAAACATGTGACGTCGTGAGCCCCCATCAAAAAGTACAAGGTAAACGGTGCTCATTTTCCAGACGTTGCTGAATGTTGGACTTTGCCGGGCCTGCCCCAGGACATCAGCCTCTACACAGGTGTGCACGCGAATGGTGGACCCGAATCCATCTCCAAAGGGTTAGGCCGGAGATGGCCACAAAGTGGAGAGACTGGGGAAGTTTCTCATTTGAAGGTGCTTGGGGATTGGAGTCGGATTGGAGAAATTTGATGGATTCTGGGTGCTTTTCAGCCTGCCAGGCACGGGCAGCGCTCCAGTGTCGACTTTCCGGATGTGGTGAGGACCAGCTTGCCATCAGGCCCACATCAGTCAGATCCCGCCGTACACACATCCAATAAGGGGTCTACACATGTCTACGCCTATGAATAAACAACGGTATTCGATATATCATGTGCCCGTGATTGCAAGTTGCAATCCACATGTGCATCAAACTATTGAAGGACACTCCTTTCTAGCGGCTGCATTTTGGACTTGCCTTCGCCTGCAGGTAAATGGACTTTGAGTGGTACCTGGCTGTGGCCACAGTGCCCAGCCCAGGTGCTGGCGCATTGCTTCGCAATTAAGTTTCACAACACCTTGGCGACAACTGCTTAACTGCAACTTCTGCTGAGTGGAGTCTCTGAGCCACCTGGAGGGTCCAAAAGTTCTTACAGCCCTTCAGTGCAAGGCCTATTCAGCGCGATGAGACCTTCAGGGTTGCGCTCCCCCGCTTTTAGCAGAGATTCTGCTGATCATCTGCAAATGCAGAGTCGATCTTTGCAGTGCAGGTGTTGTCGCGGACTGCAACGAGCCCTGCTACCTGATCAATCTGACTTTCCAGCCGAGTTGGCAATTGAGTATCTAGCAGGCAGGCTGTTGCCCGTCCCGAATCTTGTAGGTCCTAGGAGTTTGTCAAAGCTTCTTCAGCAAAGAGCGCCCGATGATTTAGTCGAGTGAGTGATGCATCTGCCGTCCGATGGTTCCGCCTTCACCAACGGCGCTCTGCTCGCAGTTTGCGCAGGCCAGACGCCGATGTAGCCACCAGTGCTGCAATTTTTAGACATGGCAGTTGATCAGGATGACGTTATGGTCTTGAAGTGACATGGATTTGAAAGATCTCGGTAGTTGAAGTACTGGTCTCAACTGAGAGAAAAGCCGAACAACTTCCATATCTGGAAACCTCAAGCTGGATCTTCTTGGATCCCTGTTTGAGCGCTCCTCACAGAATGGCGCCGAAAACACAGCTTTGAACATTTGATCATCGAGTGGGGATGTTTCTCAGACCAAGCAAGTAGCAGTCTGATCTACCAGATGTTTCTAGCCCAAGAACTCACTGAGCGAGAGCTGTGTGGGGAGGAAGCAAGGCGAAAGACTTGGGCTGTTGATGACCAGAGTGGCGAGCTCTTTTCTTGCGCAGAGCCTTTGGGTCTATTTTTCATTGTTGGCCTGTCTGGGCCTTTGGCTCAAGAGTTCAGACATCTCATTTTGGAGTTCTCAGGGTCCTGCCACAGGTGGCCCAAAACATGGCAAGCTTTGGTGTCCTCTCCAGTCTCTCGAGCACCGTAGAAGTCCAGTTTGACCTTCACAACTGCCCAAAAACGGCAGGGGAAGCGACTTGCTCTTCGCGAGGTTTGGTGATGTGGCTCGGTTGGATATCTCCCAGGCGCTGGCAACTGGGTTGGTTTTTGTGACCTTCTATGATGTGCGCGCGGCACAGCAAGTCTTGCAGCACTACGCACCTGCTGCACAATGCAGAGATGCAGGGATGCACCACTTTCGCGAAGTCTGCCTGCCGGTCGCCACCTTTGTGAAACTTCCGAGCCATGTGCAATACCTTCACACGTTTGGAGCAGTTGCGGGATTGTCAAACTGTGGTGACGAAATGGTCGTCGAGTTCTATGATATGTGCGCGGCCCATAGGACCGCCAATTCTATCCCCGGGTGTCGGCCTATGATGCATACCCCAGCTTCTTCATCATCTCCCCTGTGTCCTGCCGAGGTGCTACAAAGCGCAGGAATGCCCACAGTCGCGCAAGAGGCAAGCGAATTTAAAGCTCTTGAAGGACCTGCATAATTCCAAGAATTCTGGGATTGGAGAGCATTTGCGTGCCCGGCACACCGGCCGGATAATTAAAGTATGTTCGTTTCACATGAACTCACTGCCGGGGTCAGAGCACTGTCCATTCGGCTAAGCCGCCACGATGCATGGACTTCGAATTGTGAAAAGTCTCAAGCTGGGGTAACACAGCCACCGCGTTTCCACCATAGACTATTGAAAATACGTGTCAGCTTCTTTCAATCGACGGACTCTTGAACCTCCCAACGCTGGCATGTTAGAATCGGACAATATGGATTTTCCTCATGTGCCGCTTGAGAGTCTCAACTTTTCTTTTGGCATGCTTGCTGGACGGTTTGTCTGCAGCGTTGTCGAAGGACAAGTGCTTTGACCAACTAGAACGTCACAAGGTCACTGGAGGAACCTTGACATGTGTGGCGTTTTGGGATGAAGCCCCACGCAGGTCAGCTCAATTTACCAATCTATTTGGCGTCAAGACCTACGGGACCTCACCCCTTTGGAAGGCATCGTAGTCTAGCAGTTCTCTTTTCGGAGTTTCCTTCCCTAAACAGGCCTCAAAACCCAGCTGCCCAACAGCCATGGAGCGTGCGAAGACCCACATGGAGCGTGCGAAGACCCACAGCGAAAGTGCTCCTCGGGTCGAAGACCTGGTGGTTGCTGTGCGCGGGCGCTCCCTTGCAGGGACCAAGGTGCGACCACGGCCATCACTTGCTTGTCTCGGTGGACTCACTTGCCTGTGCACTTGGGCCATTCAGGAATTCTTTTCGGAGGAGAGCTATGAGTCCGACAGAGGCCGATCCAAGGCAGCGACCACAAGAAGATTTGGGATCCATAGACTGATCATGTATCCGGAACCTGGGTTGAACGACATTGAAAGTATATTTTTGCTCACGAGTTGGTCACTTGAAGCATGTGTTTGAAACGACCGCATGCCGTCCAGATCTCTGGTGGGCTTTTCGGAAAAGCTGGCCAACTTAGGACAACAACTTCCGGCGCATTTGGACTGCTTTGGCAGCTCAGCGCTGTCATGCTCGCTGTTTGTGAGTTTTAGCTGCCAACAGTTGCTCCTGACACAGACCGTTTGTTTGATGAAGTCGGGTTCAAACAAGCCTTGAGAGGCAAGACTCTGATCAGGTGGTCGGTTTGCTGATGTACACCGGCACCATTTTCATTTATCGCTTGATTTTCGTGCGCTTCTACGTCCCTCGAGAGCTTGAGGTGCCCAACAGTCGGGAGAGGGGTCTTTTTAGACTAGAGATGTGGAGGTACGACCCCTCGGTGCTTATATAGAACCACCAGAAGAAAGACATCGGGCAAATGTAGCATGTGGCAGATTTCTGGTCCCCAGACCAAGTGTAGCACGTAGCATGTGGCAGACTTCTGGTACTAGGGCCAGATGCTGCATTGTTCTGAAACAAATGTAGCACTTCCATGATCAGTTGAAGTCACGTGGTTTTGTATCACCAACAGTTCTATTCAGCCCCGGCCACCTTACAATTTGTTGTTGAGCCGAGCTTTGAGAGGTGGAGGAGACCGATATATCCTCCACGTGGTTTGTAGTATGAAGGCAGTTTTGAAGTTGTACAGAGCCAGAAACCAGCTGGGGTTCTTTTCCGCAGCTCCGAGGGCCTCCAGTATCAACCGTTTAAACTTCACAGGGGAGGGTAGAGCCATGGGAGCAGTCCGCTCGGCCTTTTCTGCTTCTCCACGGCGGCAAGTTGTGTTTGTCGGACTGGATGCTGCTGGAAAATCCACCATGCTGCAGACCATGAAACAGCGACAAGGAGGGCGCATCACAACCCAATGCCCAACCCTTGGCTTCGAGGCGGGGTCGGCTCAAAATTGTTGCCTAGGACGGAGGTTGGTCAGGCTAAAGTCTGGATTGTTTCTCAAGGAACTCAACACGCAAGGTGGAAACGCTGGAATTGAGTGGGTCTGCCAAGTTTATGACTATACACGCCTGGGACGTGGGCGGCCGCCACAAGCTGCGAGTACTGCTAAGGTTGATCTACAAAGACGCTGATGCCATCATTTTTGTTCTTGACAGCTCTGATCGAGAGATGTTCGAGAGTGCAAGGGCCGAACTCATGGATGTACTTGGAGAAGAGGACCTTGCGGGAAAGCCGCTGCTGGTCTTCGCAAACAAGAGGGACTTGCCAGGCGCAGTTCCCATGGCTGAAGTGATTGACAAGTTGGGCCTGCATGATCTACGTTCTCGAAAATGGTTTATTCAGGATTTGTGGGAGAAGCTTGTTTCTCAAAATGCAGTATGCCATGCCAGTTTGGCCGGGAAGTGTCAACATGTCCAATTACATACAAGCAAGAATGTTTTTCAAACTTGGCCGAAGCTTCCCCTGTTTGTAGGAGTGCGTGGCAACTGAAGGACAAGGTCTTTGGGAGGGTTTGGACTGGATGACGTGCGCCATGAAGAACCCTGGCTCAAGTGGCCCAAAGACTGTGTCGTGCAGGCCACAGGCAGCTTTGCATTTGCCTCCGAAAGCTCCAAAAGACAGCGTCGCAGATGACGTATCCACAGCAGACACGGAGGACGTGGGAGCCCGGAACGAGATTGCTCAGAGCTGAGTGTTTTTGAGCAGAGGCTTGACAACTGTTTCATGCACTTCTTGAAGGGCGCTGGGGTGTTACATAGTGTAGATGTAGTATTTCACTGCTCACAGGCTACGTGTACAGCTCAGCCTGCACTCAGACTGCAAATCGAGGTTCTAAAACTCTTGTGCAGATGCGGCCTCATGTTTTGGTTAGCATCCCCGCAGATTGAAATGGTTTGTAGGGTCTATGCTGCTGTCGAGTGGACATGTGCTGCATTGAGCTTTGCAACGCCCAGACTCCAAACTCGGTCATATATATATATATATACACATACACAGAACCTTGGGTTGCTCTCCCCATCAAGAGTTTGGTTGTACACTTGCCCTGTAGCATGTTCAGTCCTGGCCTTAGTTCTTGCCAGTCCCAGCTGTCATGACCACTCTTGCGACCACTCACTATTAGCAGGTACCAAAGTTTTGGACAGCCTTTGACAGCATCGTGGACGTGATGTTCGTGGTGGATTTACTGATCCAGTTTTTGTTCACGTACACTAGCGAGTTGCTCGACTGGCATGTCGACATTGCAAAGTCCTTGGATTCTTTGGAGTATAGTGTGCCGCAAAGAGTAGGCGTCCTCACTACTCATGTTTGGCCGCACCCACTGAGGAAAGGGACAGAGGCTGGGATGTTCAGCTTTTGCCAGAAAGAAGCTTCATTGCAACCTGCAAGCTCCTTTCCTCTGGAAGCTGATCTTGGAACACAGAAGCACACATCACAGCCCATATGATGAGTGAATGAAGGGTGACAATATATTGTATGGAATGGGAACTGTGGGGATTGCGCAGATCAGGGCCAAAGGCTTTTGAAAATGCCTATGTGATTATTTTGGTGGATTCCGAATCCAAGCAGGTCTTCTTGGGGGGGTGGCTTGTAGCTTTCTGATACACACCATGATCACCCTGGCTAGGTGGCGGTGCCAAGGAAGATCGCAGTGAGATACCTGTCCGGCTGGTTTTGGGTGAATGCGAAGCTTGTTGGAAACTATTTAGAAGACCACATGCAACCGAGCTTGCTGTTGAAAGGAATCAGGTTCGTCTTGAACGCCCACACAAGGTCTTGCACTTTCAAGCATAGTTCTTTCTGGTCTTGAAGATTCTTGCAACCATGTGGTTAATAATACTGTTTTTATTGATATGTTATCATTCAATGAGAAACTCTGCTAAACGTAGAGCAGCTTGTTGGTGGTACAGCTTGCAAGCCGAGGATTTCGTGCATACCAGAGGAGGTGGTCGACTCAATCGGCTTCACTTAAGACCACGTTCTTTTTTTCCCGAATGCGTAGCGAAGGGTTCTCGTTTAACTCTGGGGGTCTGGGGGTAGAGCCTTGTTCGCGACCCGTTGTCTCCCGCGTTCACAACCGTTCGCAACCGTTTGCAAACGTCCGCAACCGTACCGTTCGCAACCGTCCGCAACCGTTCGCAACCGTCCGCAACCGTTCGCGGTAGGGCGCTCAGGCGCTGCCATTGGGGGAAGCTTTTGGTGTTTCCGCTTGACTGTACGAAACGTTCGTTTTGCAGACTTTGACATGTGAGATTTTGAGGGCCACTGGGGGGCGCGAAGCATGCTGGCATAAACGCGGCGTGTCGCTAGTGAGCGGGATGATTGGTGGTATCGTGTGGTATGTTTGCTTCTATAGTGCGTGGCGGACCATGTGGCGAAATTACGTTCCTGTCCTACAAAAGTGTCCTACAAGAGTGTCCCACAAGAGTGTCCTACGAGAGTGTCCCCCAAGAGTGTCCCACAAGAGTGTCCTATAAGAGTGTCCCCCAAGAGTGTCCCACAAGAGTGTCCGATAAGAGTGACCCACAAGAGTTTCCTACACGAGTGGCCCACAAGAGTATCCAACAAGAGTGTCCCAAAAGAGTTCCCGGCAAGAGTTTCCCACAAGAGTGACCCACAAGAGCGTCTTACAAGAGTGTCCCACAAGAGTGTCCGACAAGAGTGTCAGACAAGAGTGTCCTACAAGAGTGTCCCGTAAGAGTGTCCCACAAGAGTTTTCTACAAGAGTGTCCCACAAAAGTGTCCCGTAAGAGTGTCCCACAAGAGTTTCCTACAAGAGTGACTCACAAGAGTGTCCCACAAGAGTGTCCGACAAGAGTGTCCGACAAGAGTGTCCTACAAGAGTGTCCCACAAGAGTTTCCGACAAGAGTGTCCCGTAAGAGTGACCCACAAGAGTGTCCTACAAGAGTGTCCCACAAAAGTGTCCCGTAGGAGTGTCCCACAAGAGTTTCCTACACGAGTGGCCCACAAGAGTGTCCAACAAGAGTGTCCCAAAAGAGTTCCCCGCAAGAGTTTCTACAAGAGTGGCCCACAAGAGCGTCCTACAAGAGTGTCCCACAAGAGTGTCCGACAAGAGTGTCCGACAAGAGTGTCCTACAAGAGTGTCCCACAAGAGTTTCCGACAAGAGTGTCCCGTACGAGTGTCCCACAAGAGTTTCCTACAAGAGTGACCCACAAGAGTGTCCCGCAAGAGTGTCCGAGAAGAGTGTCCGACAAGAGTGTCCTACAAGAGTGTCCCACAAGAGGTTCCGACAAGAGTGTCCGTAAGAGTGACCCACAAGAGTGTCCTACAAGAGTGTCACACAAAAGTGTCCCGTAAGAGTGTCCCACAAGAGTGTCCTACAAGAGTGTCATTTGGACATGTGTAGCTTTTCGAACGTGTTTGCATTCGGGTTCGTGGGCTGCATTTTCTTTTGGTCTCACCGCAAAACCTCAGGGCTGAGCTGGGGGTGCCAGCAAAAGTCGGTCGCTATGCCTCGAAGCATCGGTTTGTATAGCAGTCCTACACGGCATATGGGGGGCTCCTGTAACAAGAATAAGCTACTAGGGGCTCCTGGCATCGCTAGTAGGAGCAAGGACGCTACTAGGGGCTCCTGGCATCGCTACTGCTGGCCGTACTACTAGGAGCAAGGACGCTTACTAGGGGCTCCTGGCCGTACTGCTAGGAGCAAGGACGCTACTAGTAACAAAATCTCTAATGTGTCTCAGGTCGCCAGCCTTGTCTATGCCTCGATGGTGGGTGATGCCACGGAGAGCTCCCCGACCGGCGGGCACAGGTCGCTGAGGTGCCTAAATCGAGAGTCTGCGGTTGTTTGCGGGTCGCTATTAGCTTGGAGGCCATTCCTATTAGGTTTGGAGGTCATCTCGAGTACGTTGGAGGACATCGCTACTACTAAGTTGAAGGCCATTCCTATTGGGTTTGGAGGTCACCTCTAGGTTGGAGGCAATCGCTACTAGGTTGGAGGC